GTAGGGAAAAATACTTGTGTTTTCTGCAGTAAAACAAGTTACTAATCACCTGTTAATATTCCCTGCAGTGGTATTACAACTTTGCTGAACAATGAATAACAGTAGTTTGCTCTTATTTAATGATGGGCAGTTGCTTGCTTTGTTGTTTATCAAGAGCAGTCACATATAGCTAATGCTTTTTTCCCGTAAGTTAGAACTGATTCCAAACTAGACTTCTGCAAGTCAACATTCTTTTTTTTGAATGTTGGTCTTTTTGACAGTGGTTTATTGAATTACTATGTTAGATTTTATTGGAGAAACTGTCATGTGAAGCTGAAGTATAACGAATCACAGAATTATTGAGGCTGGAAAAGACCTCTGAGACCATCAAGTCCAGCCTATGTCGCAACACCACCACATCGACTACACGATGGCACTAAGTGCCACATCCAGCCTTTCCTTAAACACCTCCAGGGACAATCACTCCACCACTTCCCTGGGCAGTGCATTCCAATGCTTGATCACCCTCTCTGTGAGGAAGTGTTTCCTGATATCTGAGTCATCTGTTCCTGATCGGTTTAGGATCTTGTGGCATTCTAAATAAATGTAGAGTTGTTAGCCTTCACAAGCAAATTGTAATTATGCATGTTCCCCTCACTCTTCTCTCAGACCGTATTATTCTTTAAAATCTTTGATATATAATGTGTCATTAAAAGCTAAAATAAGTTAATCTTTACTGATGGGTTAAATACTTAATATTCTTCAGAATAAAGATTGTCACACATCATAACTGTATAGTTATATTAAAGCAGGGATTATGCTGATGCCAGTAACACTGACCCTTTCCTGCTCTTAATGTAGGAATTTAAGGATGAATTTCCTTGAATTAAGAGATCATAGACGAGATTTATATGAAGTTATTAGTATGCTGCTTTTCTCTGCAGGTGGTATTCCGAGGAGGAGAAGGGGCTTTGCAAGTCCTGCCTCCTCTGGTTGATGTTATTCCTGAGGCAAGACTGAATCTTGTGATTTACTATCTCCGACAAGGTAAACACACCTTCCTCTGGCTCCTTCATAGCTTCAACGATGACATTCATTAATCTCATGACAACTATTAAATGAAATGTTAGGGTTGGGGTTTTTTTTCAGTAAAATGTAGTTTATTTCATTTTCCATTCCTCTGGAAAATCATGATATAAGAGTTCCTATGGCTTGCAGAGAAGGGCTTTAATTGTGTGCAGTTAAATAAATCTACTTCAGCAGACTATTGGAGGTTCCTGGGTTGCGGGAGATGGCTTTGGGGATGGTTGTATTTATATGTGTATAGTGTGAGGGCCTATCACGCCCAAATATGTGAGAATGGTAGGCACATGTCCTGTGAAGGCAAGGACCGCTATTTTGTAAATACGGAGCCAAAGTGACTGTGAACAAGGCTACACTGTGAACACATTTCCTTCCAAATCTACTTTACAACTCTTAAAGAGTGTAGATAGGTAGCCAAAATCAGTTGGAAAGGATTTTCTAGTTTCTTCTTTCTTTAGTTGACTGACTCCTTTGAATTTTATTAGTTTGGTTCCAGAACTATTCCACTTCTCCCATTGTGTTCCTTTATTCATTAGTGGGTTGAATGATGAGTAGGTGTTAACTGCAGTCATCTAATATAAAGTGATGTGATGATTGCTTTTCCATCTGCTGCTTTCTTAAAAGCCTTCTATTTTTTTCACCTTTAAAAGGGGACAAAATTTGTTTAGATGACCAGAGCACCTGAAAGCAGAAAAATGTCTCTTCTTACTTTTTAAATAAATAAAAGATGCTTGCAATTTTTTTTTCCAAAATGTTGAAAATTCACCAGGAGTAAAGGAGATATACTATGCTGGCAGAAGTAAGTCACACCAACTTCATATTCTTTGCATTGCAGTAAATTCAGCAGCGAATCTGAGCATACATGTACACAGCACACTGAAAAAGCTCAGTGAGCATTTTGTAGTGTGATGCTCACTTGTATCCAGGACTACTTCTTTGGTCTGCATGTGCAATTGAAACATTGCCTCATCATTTCAGTTCAACTCCAACTGTGACAAATTTTAGAATATCCCACTACTGATGACAATTAGCAGTTATAGAAATTCTTATTGTAGCTAATATTGTGGAGTAAAATTTCATTAATTGGACTTTGCTAGTCTGCAAACATCAGAGTTGTCACAAAATTTAGTAATTATATACCTATTCTGTTTTGTTTGAAACTAGAGAATTTAAATTTCATATGAAGTTATTTAAGTTTCATCATGATTGTAAGTTAGGTATTCATTCTCAAGTAAATTCACATGGTCTCAATTTCATATTATTAGAAGTTCATTATCACCTGCTTTGTCTTGAATAAATTTATGGAGCTCTAGGTAAATAAGAGAGTCCTGTTATTGGTGAGAAGGGGCCTCTGGAGATCTCTAGCACATTTTATTCAAGGTAGGTCCAATTAGATAAGTAGCTTAGATCCTTGTCCAGATAAGCATCTAGTCAAAAACTCCTCTGTTCCACCTCGTGTCCACTGCCTTTTGTCTCACCCTATAGAGTCTGTTTCGCATCTTCTCTACACTCTCCCATTAGTCAGTTTTAGACAGGGAGAAAATCTCCCTTGAGCCTTCTTCTCTGAAAGCTAAGCAAACACACTTCTCTCAGTCTCTCCTCAGCCCCCCTACCTGCCTTGAGAGCTCTTGGGCAGGTTCACTCCAATGTCTGTCTTGATTGAGGGATCCCGAAACTGGACATGGTATTCCAGGTGCAATCTCGCAAGTGTCAGGTAGAGAAGAATCCCTTCCCTTGTCTTGATGGCTACATTCTTGCTAATATGACTCAGTGTGCAGTTGGTCTCCTTTGCTGCAAGGTTGCACTGTCTTTCAGGGCCCCCAGGTTGCCTTTTAGCCATTCAGCCCCCTGCCCCATTTGTCTCACTGTTTAGGGTTGGTTCAAACCAAGCAAGATGCAGGTCTTGCATTTTGCCTTCACAAGATTTCTTTCAGCCCTTTTTTTTTCAGCCTCTTGAGTTTCTTCTCAACAGCTGAGAGCTTTCTCCCCATCTTTTATCACCTGTAAACTTGCTGAGAATACTTCGTCTCCTGTCCTGTCCTCTCCTGTCCTGTCCTCTGAGTCCTTAATTCAACAGTATCAGTCACTGAGGGATTCGATGAGTAATGAGTTGCCAGTTGGATTGTGTACAACTGATTGCTGTCCTGTCCTTCAGTAGTCTGGCCAGTTTTCCATCTGTTTATCATCTTACTTAGCCAGTCCTTTCTCTCAGGCTTGACTGTAACACAGGTATAAGAGACTATGTCAAAGACCTTCAAAAGTCAAGGTATACAGCATCCACTGCTATCTTCTTATCCATACAACCAGCGTTACATTAGGTTAGTCAGTACACTTTAGCACTGTTTCCAGCCACCTCTCAAAGTCCAGTACTATTGTTGCCAATATCACTATAGTTTTTATTGGTATTACTACCATTTATTTTGCCCAGTAATATTGTTAATAATAATATCAATTTAAATTAAGTTCTACTTACACAGAAGCAAAGTACATCTGCATCACTTAAAAATCAGTCCTGTTTACTCATTTGCTGTCAGTCTTGCAGTAATTTTCATTAGTTAGCTTTGGTTCCTCACTGTGGGCTAGCAATGACTAGCATACCAACAAAGCAGGCCGAGGGCAATTAAGATTAAACCCACTTTCCCGGTTAGGCTAAGTTTCCATTTTCAAGTCTTGCTACTGTAGCAGCATCGGTTAAGAATGTGAGAAGTCATTACTCTTCTGACTACAACTGTTTCTCCAAACCTTACAAGGTCTCTGATAAAGATAGGCTTTTGTTAAGACATACTCTGAACTGGAGTGACTGAAGCACAAACGTGCGTCCCAGGTTTTTTAACTCTTTAAGGTAGCGGCTTTTAGCAGAGTTTGGGGCCAGGTATCCAGTTGTAATCTGCTCCAGTGACCTTTGATAGAGTCTTCCAGTGGAGCCTGAAGAGCATAGTTCTGTGTTGATGGTACTGATTAAAATAAGGGCTGATGTAATTTTTTTTTTTTTTGGTGGTGGTGAGCTGAGCTTACCAAAAATAAAAGGAAAAAAGCCCATATTTCTATTTAAAGCCAAAAAAAAAAAAGATATGGTTTTGGCTAGCTTTAGTACCTTGTGCGGGCTTACTGCATGTGTAGGAAAGCACAGGGATTGGTTAGGAGCCTGGCAGCTCCAATGTATATTGCCTTCAGTCACCCTGGAGTACTGCTCCAAAGTGTATGGATGGTGTGCGCCACCAAAAAGAAAGTTTTCCTTCATAAGGTGTGTTCTTATGGGCAAATGATTTAAGGCTGCATTAACAAAATTTTGCAAGTAAAAAGGTCATCTTCACTGGGTTGGTTTATGAAGCTGTCCATATGGCCAATAACTTTTTTTGATTTAGGTAATGCTTAGGATCTTTTCAGTTCACTTATGTGTGAAGGAAGTTGTTTATTGAATTCAAACTTTGCATTTGAACTTTGTAGTAGTAGTGTTTTTTGCTTGTTAGAATTAGGATCAGGTAAGAGCTGCTAGACAGATTTTGAAATATTGATGAAGATGAAGTTTCCCTTCAGAATCTTATTACCCTATCTTCCTTGAGGGGTAAATAAATATGAGAAAAGGCAGGAAGGTGATGGATTTATTATCTTGACCTTGTACGACTGAGAAGGCAGCCACTGGATTATGAACATGGGGGCCAAGTCATCTCTACTAGGAAAATTGTTGTAATAAAGAAGCTATTACTCACTCTGTGTTTGTTATTTGAGTTCTGGAAAAACCATCACCATTGTGATATAAATCCACTATGATTTATAGCTGCCTTTCTCTTCCTGTCTAAATGCTTTATTTCTTAGCCTATGACTATTAGGGAATGTTGTAGAGAATAAGTGACTTGTTCTAACACAGTGTGCTATGGGTTGTCATGCATTCTAACGTCTGGTGTTTCAGATGATGTGCAGGAGGCTTATAACCTGATTAAGGACCTGGAACCTACAGCTCCACAGGTAATTGGAAATTGATGTCATGGTACACAAAGAGAGAGGTTATAACTTGATATGAAATCTGCCACATATAAAACTGGTTTCCTGAAGACAGCTTGCCTTGTTCTTACTCTTACTCTTGTGTTCTCCATCCTTTTATCAACAATAGACTTCATGTGCATGCATAAAGTATTATATCCGTGCATATATGAGTACTTAGCATGTTTATTACTGTACCACCTGAGGTCAACTAAGAATACAGCTCTGTTGTGTGCACACTTGATTCTCGGGAGCTGGCCATTAGTGCACAGATAAAAGCTATCTTCCAACTACAGCTGCTTGTCACTTCTGCCCTGGTGGTGGTTACCATCCCTCAGATCTGCTAGCTGAGTTGCTCACGTGGTTTGTCCTGAAGCCATTTCAATAAAAATGAGCTAGATTAGATTAAGCAGTTTAAATAATAGGTCTTTTCTAATCCCATCTCACTTTGGCTGCAATGAGGGAAAACTGCAGTGTCCTTTGGCTGCTACTGTAATTTTCTTTTGTGGCTGTTCCAATATCTGTAGTCTCTGATTTATTCCTCTTTGCAGTTTATTTTCCAAAGGTCACATAGCTGGGCATGAAAGGGACCTTTCATGAGTCTGTGTGAGGATTAGATGGAGGGAGGGAAAAGGAAAACCTCAGGAACACAGATCTGGTGATTCTGTGCTGAGGAGTGTCTTCTGCTGTTGTTTTTAACTTCTTGCATTTTTCATTGTAGCAAGACTTTACCAGTTTTCTGCAGTACTTTAGCTTCCGTTTTCCCCATATATGTGCCTCATATAAATAGCATGATGCCATTCTTGATCACATTTTGAAATGAGAATCTTTGTGCTTTTTTCCATTTTTCTCACTCATACTTGGAAGGAACTCCCCACTAAGGCTTTCAAAACTACTTGTATAACCTCCTTCAGTTCTTCTCAATTTTCTTCTTTGTCATGACATCTACAGGATAATAACTTAACACCTATAAGAGAGTTGATGTGCTAAAATGATTACTTAGCATGTTGGCTGGTACTCTCACATTGTCTCCTTACACTCCATTGTTGGTCTGTGTAGATGTCTTTCTGTTTTTCCATGTTTATATCTGTGACAGGGCTGTCAAGATTTATCAGGAGTACCTACTAAAACAGATTTATAGGTATAACTCTTAGTTGTAAGATTTGAGTAAGACAAATAAGTCAGTTACATGCTGCAAAAATCTTGCTCAGAGAAGAATTAAACTATAGTTGTATCTCATTGTGGAGATCACATGATACGCCTGTTCCTAATTTCAGTAGAGTAATATGACTACAGAGCACAAACCTCATGGTATTTTTGCCCCGATGAGAAACACTATGCATTTTGGAGCAAGGATGTTACTAGTTATGGTTAACCAACGTGCATACTTAAAGTGGGGGTGAAGAGGGCATGATAGCATGTTATAGTATTCCTTCTGCTGCATTGTCTTTGAGCATAAGACTTATCAGAAAACACAGTACCCCTCTGCATCTCACATATTTAGCAGAAGTGGCGAGCTAGCAAGTAGAATGGATTTGAGGGGGTAATTTTATACTACTGTGCTGAAGCACTATCATAGTAACCAGCTACCTGTTAAATTGAGTTGGGATAGAGTTGAATGTAGGAAGAAAATAACATACGTAGGCTCTTAACGTGTCTCCTGAGATTTTCACCTTGTTTTCTCTGATCTTTTTTACTTTCTTTTTTTTTTTCCCCTCAGGAGTACATCCTCAAAGGAGTGGTAAATGCAGCACTTGGACAAGAAATGGGCTCGGTGAGTAAAGCCCATGTGGTTCCCCAGCTTCTCTAGCAGCAGAATGTGAACAGATCTGTAGGGACTGGGATGGCATGAAAGAGGCCGTCATTTCTTATTTAGATTGCAGGATTTCTGAGTCTCTTAGTCTTCTTCCATACAGCACTCAGTCCAGAATGAGTGAAATGCAGATCTCTGTTGCTAATCCTGAAAATAAATCAAGCTGGGTTTGGCTTCTCTGTCCTGCTTTCAAAAAACCTATTTGCTTTCTACAGTGTTCTTGTGTATCTGGGCACGGAGTGGCACATTTACCTTCTCCACTTTTACTTCAGCGCTAGTTAGTCTGTTAGCTGCTCCCTGTCTGTTCCTCAGAGCATATTTTCACTGTGTGTTGTAGCATCAACTCTGGAACTCATGTTGAATTATTTTTTTTTCCCTCTCCCAGAGAGATCATCTGAAAATTGCTCAGCAGTTCTTCCAGTTGGTGGGTGAATCAGCCAGCGAATGCAGTATGTTTGAAATGTTCTTCCTCTGTTATGCAATCCTTCTTACAATATCCAAATATATACCATCGTATCTTTATCTAACTGCTATTAGCATGACTATAGATAAGCATTTTGTTTCTATAGTATGAGTAACAGAATGTGTAATTTATAGTCTAAAACGAATTTGCAAGTTTAAATTAGAAGGCTCAATTGATTCCAAATTCTATATGAATTTGGCTGGAAAAGAGACTATACTGCAAACTGATAGACACTGTGGTAGCTTGCTTTTGACTAATAATCCCCATTATAGAAACAGAAGACAACAGCCTAATTAGATGAATGTGTGGCTGAAACCTCACAGGTACAAATCTAGGACTGTTAATGAAAGCCTACTGAGTACATAGAGTTCTAGCACAGAGTGTTAGCACACCCTGCAACTGAGGGTGATAAAGACATGAAGAGGAATTTGGCTACAGAGAGAAATGAAGGCTCTGGGACTAACTCTTTGGTTGAACAAAAAACCCTGAACACGTGATAAACTCCAACAAAAAAATCAATATATTTTCAATATTTACTTTTACTTATTCAATAACAGATCAAAATAATAGACTTTGTCTTTCCTCCCCCTTGCCAAAGTAAACCCAGAAATCCCAAATCAAAAAAGCCAGTAGCTGGAACACGGAAATTGAGCCAAAATGAGGCTTCCCAGTTTCCTTTGCAGGCATTGTCATTAGGACTGTTTCTTTAGGTGGTAAATTCTGCATGTTTACAGTGCAGAGAGCTCGTGGTCCTCAGGGACAAAATGCTGTCTCCTGTGTCCATAGAAACTAAAGAGAAGGAGCTCAAGAGACAGAGCGGCAGCATTGATGAAACTTTCAGAAATACTGTTAAGCTGTTCGGTTCCCCTTGCAGCCCTCATGCTGTTGAGATCGTGCGGCAGAGAACTTCACGTTGGAGGGGTGGAAGTGGTTCCACAGATGAGGTTTCCCTGACATGTTCCTTCCTGCATTGAGGTGATCCATTTGGAGTTAGGATGTCAGCCAACAGAAAGAAGCAACATGAGCTGTAGTAGTGGAGGACTCAGTGGGCATATGGCTAACTGGGCTTGCGATGCCAGTAAAGTCTCAGGGTGACTGATACGATGGTGGTAGACCCCTTAATGCCCATAACAGTTGTGCAGGTGTGATGAGTGACAATGGTGCACAGGAAAAGATGTATACTGAAAATACAGCCCCAAACCAACATTGAAATTAGTAGGAAGCTAGAAGTCTAAATTTTACTGTGAAATATTTTTAAACCCATATGCAAGATAAAATAGAATGGCTGAGACTTGAGATATAGGAGAGGGAAAAAAAAAAAAGGAAAACAGAAATGTAGTCCAGCTAGGAAGGCGGCTTAATTGAAAAACATGAGTCTATGGGAAGGATTAGTTCCAACTAAAGGTAAATAGAATCATAGAATGCTTAAGGTTGGAAGGGACATTGAAAATCAAACATTAGTATTGTGAGCATTTTACACTCTTTGTTACATCCATGTAAAAATTGCTTTGTTGTGTTTTTAAAAACTTGGGGGAAAAAGGTGAGATACAGAAGAGCACACAGTTCAAAGGCAAAATAGTGTGACTTTTTTTTGTATCCTCAAATGAAATACATATAGAACTCAACAAACTAGATAGAAAATTGAAGAGGCAAACAGAGTTCAATTTAGGTAGGGTAGAACAAAAAGCAAACACATGAAGAATAAATATGCAAGTGTTTTTATACAAATATTAGATGTTTTACAAGTAGATGAATAAGGTGGGACACCTGGTTTTAGAAGAGGAAGCTATAAGCATAAAATATTTTTTTTAATGTGATAGGAGGAAGGTAACATGTGGGATACTGTTCCTATTTAATTTACAACAGGGCATTACTAAATAGATTATGCCAGTGGAGAAATGGTTCTAAACATTATAGAAACCTTCCCTCAAAATAAAGTAAATTTCTTTATCAATGAGTAACAGAAAATTGTTTTAAATTACATGCTCAGGTAGGAGACTCATCATATTGAGGCTAAATTATTCACCAGCCAGCCTAGATGGGTACAGTGACTGGCATATTAAAGAGGTTAGAGATTTTGTATAGGAAGATAAATAAGAGTTGGAGACTTCTATCCTGCCTATATTGACCTACTAAATGCAATAGTATGACATGATATAGAGAATGAATTTTTAAATGCTAAATTTTCATGTTTCTTAGCACACAAGTGAACAGGTGACTGTAGACCAATACAGAGATTATATAGAATCTGATTTGATATTTTATGATGAAGATCCAATTCTGTTACAGTGATCTGAATATAATCAAATTCAAAATCTGTGTTAGCAAATACCTCAAAAAATTTCCACAGTACTAATTTCAAGAAGGGAAACTACATAATAACCTTTCTCATTTCTAACAGAAAATATTCAGTGAAGTAGCAGTGAAAAGGATAAAATGCACCTGATTTGAACACTTGAAAAAACCTTTTGTTTCTTTAAAGAAAGGGTTTGTATTCATAATTAATGAGCTATAGGAGACAAATAATGACATGACTACGTTTGCCAATGGTACAAAATTACCCATAGTAAGAAAAATGAAAGCTTCCACAGTGATGAAAGCTGTGGAAGAATATATGAGGCTGAGTAATAGTATGCAAATTAAATTTAGCTTTGATAAATGTGAAGTAGTGTATAGGGTGAAAAAAAAACCCTAAAACTGCATCTGCAAAATTAACAGAAAAGTTAAAGAGAATCTTAGGAATTAGTGAGGAAAGAGAGAACAAAACAGATAATTACTGTATCATTGTATACAGATGTGGTTCCCTTTCTTGTGTACTGTCTGCAGTTCTGTTTCTTACATGACACAAAAAATATGATCGAAAAGAAAGGGTACTAAAGAACGGTAAGGATGATCAGAGAAAGGACAGCTTCTTGAACAAGGAGAAATTAAATAAAGGAGGATACTTGGCCTGGAAAATAATGACTGGTTATGTTTGCAATAAAGAACATAATAAATTACAAGGAGAAGAGAAATAGAGAAAAATTAGTTACTGCACTGTACAAAAAACAAAGACCACTGACATAAAACATCACATAAGACAACTAAAGTAAGCAGCACAAATTACTTTTTCACATACCACAACTTATTTGATACAGAATCTTGTGAGAACCAGAAGGTATAAAGAACTTTGTAGAAGAAAAATCTAATGGCTGTTTAACATAATTTTTTCAGCGATGGTAAGGAATTTCTCAGTGTGGAGTGTTGGAAGCTGGGAGAAACTTCAAGGAAGTGGCATTACATACCAGAGCATGTATTATCTGTGAAATCAGGATATATTATTTCTATAGCTGTATATTGTTACTCAGCAAGCTTCTGAACCAGATAGACTTTGAGTCCAATACGGTCGTTTTTACGTTCTTGTGTAACTTAGAATATTAGCCAACGTGCTGTATATTTGTGGTCATTTTTGATCTGTTGCCTTTATTTTGCTGGATTTAGAATGGAGAACAGAATTCTTGCTGTTTGTGTACTTTGGCTTTTGCTAGTTTGCCAGCCCTGCTATTCAGGCATGTAAGTCCTGCTTCAGCACTTCCTACTGGGCCAATCCTTGCACGGAGCTGGTACTCCTGGATTGTTTAAGATCTTTATCAGGTTACTTAGCTGCTTTGCAGGTTTATAGTACAAAAATAGGCTGTGCTTGCTAGAGTGAGGAAATCCTACACTGTGTCTTTGTTTGCAATTGGGCCTATAAAGCTCTTGATTTTAATGCGGAATATCAAAAATTAATGGAATGAAGGTGTAGATGTGGGTTTTTTTCAAAACAAGGTCCTGTCTTTCTGACTTACTCTTATTAACTGTAGAAATCCCATGACTGCGTTAAGAAAAAAGCAGCAACAGACAGTTTAGGAAGAATACAGTGTCATGTATTTATCAAGTCATTTGGAGTCATCAGTTAAGCTCTTTGCTATTTTTAATTAGATGTTTGAATTGGAGGTTCAAGGAACATAGAGCAAACAACGTTAATGTGAAATCCTTGCCAATAAAGGTGCACATTTCATCTCATGTTGGAAGCTACGTACTTTGAGAGGAGTAGGGGCACCTACAAACGAACAAACAAAAGCCAACCCAACAACAAAAATAACAAACAGGAAGCACTTACACTGTAGGAGTCAATACTCCCTCTCTAGCAGCAATAAATAACACCCAGAACAGCAATTTGGTTTAGTGGAGTTTTTAAAAAAAGTTCTTCATCCCAATGACATGAAATGGAAATGGCGTTACAAAGGAGGATATAACTAGATTTTAATAGTTAATTCTCATTCTCTTCTTTTCAGGGTCTCAACTGGGTGGGAAGTTAAACAGAGTTCTGAGCTAAGTTAAGCAGGAAACAGGGCAAGAGGAACATTAGTGAAACTAAGTGCACATTAAAATTTCCATTACAATGCATCTTATGCATCTTTTCTGGTGCTTAACATAAGTCCTACAAACTACCCTAAAACCACTGCAAGCATGATGGAGGAGACCATCTCTTTCATTGTCAGTGGTCCTCTTTTAGGACCAAGTCTGGCATACCTGGTGTTGGGTGGTAGAAAGGAAACATTTCTTTTTGGACTTCATACAGTCTTTTCTTTGAGGTGTTCTTAGGTGAGGTCACCCGAAGTAATTTCTGAACATGAGAACTTTCTTCTCTTCCTTCGTGAATCACGTGGGATGAATTAGAATTATAAGACTCTAGTTTTCCTGTCACTAGTAGTATTCATTGCCGAGTTGTATGAAATTTACAGATAGTTTACTTGTTTGGTTTTGGTTTTTTTAATAAAACCTTTCAATAAAAGTATATGGAGGATGGTACACAGAGATAACAAAATTTTCTTCCAAAATGTGGACACAAGAATAAATGTTGAGACTTAAAAACTCTCTAATCATATATGGCAAAAGAAAAGTGTGGTTCTAATATCTTGTTGCTGTGATTAATTTTTACTGAAAATGCATTCTCAGTGTTAAGTCTTTGCAAGTTTATTTGCTTTTTACAAAAGTTGTTTAAAATAAATTGCTTGAGCTTATGAACTTCAAAAATTGGCTGTGAGAGAGAAGAAGCACTTTTGAGGTACCTGCATTCTTAGTAAAAAATAAAAAGAAAAGAGCCTGCATGAAGGGCAGGTAAATATACAGGCCAGTTTCTGCTCACAAGTGGACACTTCATAAATAGTCAAATAATGTTTCATAAGTTGGAGGACTGAATGATGTAGTTCAGACATAGGTAAGGATGGATTATCTCCATATGGAAATGACAGGACATCCAAGCTCAGTATCTCTGGATACTAAAAGATAAAAAATGAGAATATTCTGCTTTTCTTTGACATATAATTTGAGATCTTATATAGTGCCTTCCAGGAATAATTACTATCTTGCCATATTTAAAGGCGAATGTATGGTCTTCTGATGGAATGCTGTATTTTGTGCTGTAGTAGAGAGTCAAAATATTGGTCTTCAGATACACGATATTTCTGTATTCAGAAAAGATATTTTACTAGTGTGGATGGATTGATGGTAACTAACCTACAGGACCAGATTACCTCAGGGCTGGTGGTAGCCTTAGGATGTTACCTCCTGTCACCTTACCAAACTGCACGAAGCAGCCTGCGCTCTAATGATCATTTGACATAAAGAAATAGTGATTTGTCATCACTTGCATTTGTGCCTTCCCAGCTGTTGTTGAGGTTCATCCATCTCTGATTGGTCTCTGCTTAGTCCTAGTAAGTTTACTGCAGAACTTTTAAAAATGCTTTGAAATAATTTTTCAGTAACTCAGCTTGCAATTTCAAAGTAGATGACAGTATAGCATGGTGGTACCGAAGTTTTTGTTGACATAGATGGCAGCAAAGTTTACTGACGCTTATTTGGACTGATACACCCAACTTATTTATGGCTTTGCCACTTGTGAGCAACGTGGTAATCACAAATGCATGGAAATTAACTTTCATATTGTATTTCATCACTCAGTATTTTTCCTGTGCGTATCTTAATATTTTTTTAACAATATTTTCAGTGTATCAAGTTTACTCTCTTACTGGAACTAAAATTAGAATATGTAGAGCTTCTTTGTCCAGGATAACTGAAAAGATTTTTAAAATAAAAGAAAAAAGCTAATGAGGTTAGAATAACAAACTCAGGCTTTGCATCAAGTGTCATTTCCTAAGAGTCAGAATAATTCACAGTAAAATCATGCTACATAAATGGTGTCATGGAAGAGGCCTGTTACTTAAACAATTTGTCTCTGTAGAATTTGCTGTTTAATACAGTCTTGCAATAGTTATTTCATGCTGTAGAGAAAGTTCACAAGATGATCTAATAGTTTTTCTAACCTCTAGTATGGTCCTTTGCCTGAAAAGGCAAGTTACACTATTTTTAGAAGCTTTCATAGTTGCCAGCAATCTTGGCAGTGATTTCCACTACCGTGTGATTTTTAAAGTCTACAAATCTGCATTTCTTTTGAATTTTAGATACCATTCCAGGGAGACAGTGCATGTCCTCCTGCTTCTTTCTTCTTAGACAGTTTGCTAATGTCCTGCTCTACCTCGACTCAATCAAGGTTAGTATTATTATTTAACACTGCTAGTACTCTAATGTGTGAAATCACTACTTAGAGATTTAGACTTTACTGTGTGAGATACTATGTAAACATGAAAAGATACAGAAACACAACAGTAACAACAAAACACAGGAACAACAGTGGGACAAAAGCGGTGAGTACAGCCGATGGATCAAAATGTTAAGAAGCATTGATATGACAGCATTGTGCAGCATGGTGCGCATGATGGTCTCGTCACAGTTGCAGTGTAACCATTATCAGGCTTTCTAGTAGCGTCACAGATGAGGAGGAAAATAAGTAAAGGAAAACAATGAGAATAAAATTGGATATTTATGGGATGTGTAGTATGGAAGAAAAAACTCAAATGTTTTCTTAAGACTTATCAAATGATAAGTGATGGAGATTATTGTCACCGGTTAATGACTGGGGACAATATTTTAATGAACAAGAGTGTGTAAAGAAAATAGGACATGAAGGACTCTGAAAGTAAACACGCTCACATTTGACTGGGAAAGCAGTCAATGAAGGGCTAAGATAGGGCATTATTACCAAAACAGGAAGGTAACAATATTATTTTTGCAGAAGTAATCTGAGTGGTATCATGCAAGCAGTGTTGCATTTTTCGAAGTAAGAGAAGGAGTTTGTGGTTGTCTTAATGCAGCATTATCACCAGTAGTTTCCAAAGGAGAATTTATACTGTCTGTTTCTTACATTTATCTTGGAACGGAATGAGTCACCCCATGGAAACACCCAGCTCTTTCCATTTCCTTTAAAAACTTCTTAATCAACTAGTTCTAACCTGAGAAGGTTAAAGTTAAATGTGATTACTCACGACCATCAAGGTATATGGGAAAGCTTAGAAATTAGAGAGAGAGAAGAGTAGTATCTGAGGGGGAGATGGAGTTGTCGTTAATATTGGAAAGTAAGGCTAGCCTAAAGGAAGAAGCCAGAAATTAATGAGGCAATGAACAGAAGAGCATGAGAGTGTGCAGTGAAGTGAGCAGAGGGTAGGTCAGAGTCATGAGGCAAGAAAAGTGCTATAGGGAGGAGGTGAGGTAAGATAATTTTGCATCTGCAAGGGTATAAAGGGAAGTGTTGTAGGAAGAGTTGGAAAGAAAATCTGAAGGAAATGCACAGAATACTCAAGTGTTATCTTGCAAGATGTTAGTAAGAGCCCATGCAGAGGGAAATACAGGTGAAACAAAATATCTAGCTGCTGCGTATGTGTTGCACTATCAGCAGCAGTCATTCACTTCTATTGGTTTTGGTTTTTGCAGCAGCTCTGGTCTCTAGCACTAACACAGCCAGGATAGAATGACAATTTTTGAGTTTGATTGCTGACAGATTTTCTTTTCCATTTTAATTCAAAAATACAGTGAGGGTTATTTGAACAGAAAGAACTATTCATTCAGTAAAACTAGCGTCTTGCTCACCAGCTTTGCTTAATCTGGGACTTGTGCTTATTCGCACGAAACTACCATTGAGGAAAGAATACAGTGAAGTGTTGTAATTCTCATATGGTGAAACCAGTTAGTTCACCCTAAGGGTACTGAAATGTTTTCACAAACTGAGTTTAAGATTCATCTAATTGGTTCATCCTCACGCTTTCACACAGCTTGCTGTGTTTGCCAGCTTTTTGACCCTAACATAGACTATTTGGGTGAAACCTAGACTTGTGGCAAATGGTGGCAACTCCCCACCTCTCCTCTCAAGGCATTACCTTGAGTTATGTGGGTGGACTCGATCAGTACCCTTGGCTGGCTGCCAGGTCAACAGGGAATCAAAATCATAGAATGTTTGGGGTTGGAAGGGACCTCTAGAGATCATCTAGTCCGACCTCCCTGCCAGAGCAGGATTACCCAGGGCAGGCCACACAGGAACACCTCTCCAGGTGGGTTTTGAAAGCCTTCCACAGGTGTCCCTACATCATGAAAGAAGATAGAGTGCTGGGAAAGGGGTTTGCTCCTAGCTTCCCAAATGTTTTGTACAGTCCCAACTGTGCTTTATACCTCGCTCTTTAATGAAGGAACAGAAAAAAAAATCTTTATCTTCCTACACAAATTCTGTTTCTTTTACAGATGTAAGGAGAAACATTTCTGCTTTCATGCACCTTGCTGTTACGCACCCAGGAAAGCTTTTCTCATAGTAACTATAGTGCACAAACCATACTGCTTTTTTTCCCATGCTTTTGTATAAGAACTGCACCTCTCTTTGGCAGTGAGCCTCAATCGCATCCATGCTTGTCACTGTGGTATTGTCTTCCACCTTACTTCTACCAGGTCTCCTGGTGTAGTAATGTGGGACAGTGTTGAATGTAAAGCACACTCAGCTGGCTCTTATACTTCAGTCTGGACATCTGACCGTCATCAAATCCAAGTTATTTGGGTCAAACCCAAACATCAGGCTAACCTGTACCTAGAGTTATATTTTCTGCTTTGGCTCGTGCAGCTTTTCAGAAAAGATACAGCTAGATCAACCTGATCTGTCATTAACAGGGTGTATTCAATCTAATATTATGGGAGAGAAAACCTTCGTGTTGCAAGATAGAGAGAAGGATGCATGTTTAGCAAAGCCTGAGCTTAAGGAAGTCCTGTTACACGGTGTGCTGCCTGGCTACAGCCCGGTACCGCGGCTCCACCTCCATCATGTGATCCAGTGTGTCAGACTAGCATCTGCCACATAACCAGATCCACAGGATCTCATGCTGATCTTGAGAAGTCTTGGAAAACCGAACTGTTCATCTCCTTAAGCCATTAAGGGAAACTGCCTGTTTACCACCCTAGTGGCAAAATAAGTGCTTGGGAGGTGAAAGAGACCACAGCAGCACAGCATGTCTTCACTCGCCCAAAGTGCAAATTATACCCATAAAAGCTGCCACTGCAATTTTGAGCTCAGAGCATTCTCCGGATCTCTCATGGTTAATACTGTGGAATGTTTCAGCTATGTTTGTAGTCATGAATGTAGGATGGAAAGCCAGTCCGTAATTTTCTACCCACTGTTTATAAATGCCGTATGTTCAAAATGTGGGTTTTTCTTTTTCTTTCCCATTGTCTTGATATAGTCTGACTCAGATTTAGGGGGTGGGGGTATATTTTTAATGTGATTATACCATGGGAGGAGGTTGTATTTATTTGGGTTTTGTCTGTGTGGCTTATTTTCCAGAGTTACTTCTGCAACAATGACACTTTTAACTTCAACTACGCCCAAGCCAAAGCCGCCATTGGCCATTTTAGTGAGGCTGAGGAGGTATGTATTTACTTTTTTTTTAAAAAAAAAAAAAAAAAGGGGAGAATTTCCCACATACTCCACTTTCCTTCCCTTTCTCCCTCCAGATCTTCATGTTGGTTGAAAATAAGCAGGTTCTCTGGAACATCATCTTCCCTTTCTTAGAGGAACTGAAACTCTCAGTGAATACTATTCAGAAAAGATTATCTTGCTAATCTTGTAATGTTAGGTATATGGGGAGTCATGCTGCTTGTGGTGCATCACAAGAGTGCTTGCAGCTATCTCTAATTGATCAAAGAATGCCCTCTTAATCAGATTTCCTACGCTTTGTCTGGGATCCCAGGCAGTCTTATTGTTCAGACTGACTAGGGCATGCTGACTAAAAGACACTGAATAGTTAAGAGCTTCTAGGTGTCCCCAGAAATTTGTGTTTAAAAAAAAAGTCTTCCTCTGGGAGATGTGGGAGGAAAACAGGAAGTATTCACTATCTTATTCAGCAGCTTCCAGATGCAGCTGGAAGAGATTAACTTCTACACACAGCATTTTCTGTGTCTGCGTGCAGTAGAAACTTAATTACAAGTAAAATATGCAAAAGCAAAGAGCTATTATGAAGATGGAAGCAATATTTTCCACAAGATCAGAAAGAAGACAAGCCAGGAAAAAAAAAAAACAACCCACAACTAACCACGTAGTCTACAGTGAATCATCTAGGGTTTGGGGGTTTTTGGTTTTGTTTTTCCTGTCTTTCTAACTTTTTAGCTCTTCAGGTTTCTTGACAACAGAGCCCCCTTTTTCTCTTTTGTTTTTATCTTACTGATTGGTTGGTTGGTTTTCTTTGTCCCCCTAGCACCCACTCCCTCAATTTCTGTGACCTGAAACTGCATCTCTCTTTAAGAAAAATATCCAAGACTGTCAGACAAAACAGATATATATTTCAATTCACCTCCCTTAACTTAATTAGCTCAATGAAAATGTAGGTGAGTGTCTTTTAAAACTGTGCTAGCAGGCTATAGTTATTCCTGAGACTTCATAAAAATGGTAACACTCTTAAGTATGCTTTAGCTTCAGCCAGGCAAGAAAAAAACACAAAGGTGTAAATTGCTTTTAATCCATATTTTTCCTCTTACGTTCTTACAAATGACTCTATATAAACTTGTGTTATGTAACTGATGCACTTAAATAACAGAATTATGTCATAAATTGATGAATCTGGCTTAATGTCCGATTTTTGATTTTGATGACACTTTCATATAAAGATCACTTCCCCCAGTATCTCATAAACTTGTAAAACATCTCCACATATAGTATTTATTTATTTAAATGCTTACTCCCTGGACACAATGAAATAAAACCTATGATAAAGTGCTGCTTACAACGATAATGCTGCTTTCTTTTTATTTCTTCCCTCTTACCCTTCTCCCCTTCCCCTCCCCCTGCAAATTAGGGAATCAGCAATGTTTACCCAATAAAGCTGTCAGTGATTTGTGGAACTCACTGTTCCAGTACATATGTCTGCTCCTATAAACGTATTTTAAGTTTTTGCCAGTAGTATCCTAGTATGGTTACAAACATACCCTGCAGAAAGGCATAAACAGCTTTTTTTCTGTGAGCAAAGCCAGAGTACATTTTAAAATGTGTAACTTCCCCCTGTGCATCCCTTTAGATGTAGAATGTAATAAATCTGTGTTTGTTCAGTAAGTTACAAATGACGAGTGTTTTGTCTCTGAGCCTTAGTGAAACCAAAATGGTTAGTAATGGCTTATTGCTCACCTGGAATGATCTCTGACACATATGGGGAGGAAAAGCTCATATTAGATGTGAAACTTCTGGTATTTCAAGAAGATGCTAATGTAATTGCTTGCATTGCTTTCTAAACAAACACATTCCAAATAGGTTTTCCCACAGGCCCAGCGTTCCTTTGTGCCGCTCGCGTTGCATGGCCGCCCACTGGCAGTTGTTCAGAGCAGGCCGCACCCTCTGCGGGGCCTGCAAGTTCTGAAGCTGCAGAAGGTCCCTCGGTGAGCGTGGTGCTGTGCGAATCCTCCACCCGCCCGACACAGAGAGGGGCCCCTACGCCGCACTTGCGTACCCTCACTCTTCTCATGCAGCGGTTGCTTGTGTGGCTTAAACCTTAGCTGCGTGTTGAAACGAGGCAGGTCTGCCTTCAGTTTCTTTAAAAGTACATGCATGTATAATCTTCTCTTTTCCTTCTTCCTGCAGGTGTTCCTTTTGATCCAGAGTGAGAAGATAAAGAATGATTTTGTTTACCTTAGCTGGCTAGCTCGCTGCTGTGAGTCACGTTACTCTTAACATTGCAGAACACAGATCCTCCTCTATTGCGTCAGTCTTGGCAATCCACTTTCCTAATTGAATTTAATGTTGTAGGTGGATTCAGAACTATGAAAGTGAAAAGCTGATTGCACTAGTTATAGTGTGGGTGGTTACTGCACCTTTCACACATCTGGCTTTAGTAAGCAATTACTGCTTCAATGCAGTGCTCAGTTCTGTCGGTCCAGCTTTGTCCTAACCAGTGAACCTTTTTCTCCTCAATTGTCTACTGAATTGCTTGAGTTAAGATTTTCTGTCTTAAAAGACTGAATTACAACTCTAAAATGTTCAGAGTAAAATATAGAATAAGAAAATAGAAGCATCCTTACTGGGTCAGGCCCAAGGGTCTGACTGCCTCCAAGAGCAACCAATGCCAGATGTCATCTGACAGTCAGGCAAGCATATGCGCTATTTTTCTTCCTACCACTTTATTCTTCATGTTGTCCAAACTCCTGTGCCTGAGGAAAGTCCTTTATAATCTTCAGCAGGTTTTTTCATCGAAAATTTTTCAGTTCTTTCCTTGAACCCAGAAAACTTTTTGCTATATTTAATATCCTATGGCAAATTTTGTGTAGTTTTTCTGAACCAGTTGTAAAAACATTGCAGAGTAGAGCTCAGTACAGATATAGCTACAGTGCCACGTGCAAAATAGTACAGAGGTGGGCTTTTCTGATGACTGAAGCCTGAGACTCCCTAGGCTAATTTGTTTTCCTTACAGGTCCTCAGTACAAAACTGTTCTTTTATCAAAGAATTTTCAGTAGTTGTACTTGGAATGTAAATATTTATGTTTTGGGACGTTTTGCCATATTGCAGATGTGATCAACATATCTAATGTGATGTTTCCGGACAGGCACATCACACCTATGGATCCCTATCTATGACTTTCTTTTAGGACCTACCAGTTTATTTCCTTTTTCATTAGCCTGCAGTACTTGGTTGTGGTTGAGTGTCTTCTGTGTGAATGTTTTATGTGGATTTTTGATTGGAGAACTCCCATTGCAAAGGGAATTCATGGTTGTACAGGAGACAGTGAGTGTTCATCACTTTGATTCTGTGCTCTAGTAGCCCTTTGACATACATCTGGGGATGCAGAACTCTTTGAAGGTGCTACTTGTCATACATGAAGTAGAGTTAACACCGTGTTATCAAATAAAAATTTTCTAGCTCTTTCATAGGAGTTGCAATTTGTTCTTGAGTGTGCCTTTTGCCATTCTGAATTCTTGCTGAAGTTTCAACAGAGCTGCTATATTTTTCTGTTTCTATCTTCAAATTTTGATTTTTCATTCCCAAACAGCTGCTAGAATTCTTTGCAGAAACAACTGTTTAATGATGAATTCAGTTATCTTCTTGTGTCAAGTATGTAGATTATTATTAGACCCTTCTGGATAAAAGCTGCTGTAGAAATTACAAAGCAATATAATAACATATTCATGCCAGAGTGTGATTAGGTATTGAGTAATAAACAGTTCAATGCTGAAGTATTTCCAAAGGGCAGGGGGTACCAAAGATACATTTTTTTGGATGCTAGACAGTATTTTTTGTGTAGTATTATTGTTCTATTTCTAGCAAATTCTTCTCAGAGAGAAGCTAAAAAACTTGACACTGAATTAGCACAGTACTCCATTCCTCTAGATAGATGGGTTGGTATTTGAAAATTAAGTCTTGGCTGTTTGCTACTGTGCATGGTATCTGGAGCTGGTGAGAGAAAAATCTGATTTGATATCTTGCTGCTCCTAAATGAGAAGTGTTTGTAAAGCTTGTGACTTGGTGAGATACGTTTATTGTTGATGATTGCCACCCACTCTACCTGCGACACATGTATTGGCACAGTGAGCACGGGTAGAATAAACTCTTTTGAAGAAAGACAAGAGTGGTCCATGTGTGAACAGCCAGATATTCTGTAAGTAGCTGGCAAGACTTGAAAAAGAACGGAATACTTAATTTCTTTTCTCCCATGAGTCAGGAATTATTGATTTCAACCTCAGATTCAACTGAATGGGTTCTTACCTCCAGAAAATCAAATTTTAGAACTCTTTGTGTTGAAACACCCTAGTAGAATTTCCACTAGCTGAGATGGAAGATTCAGATTCTTTTATTTCTCATTGTGTGTTAACAGTGATGTTTAAGGCTGACTAAAAAATCTAGTCATATAGGCAGATTTAAAATCTGAGCACAAAATCTCAGGAATTTGGAAATGTTTTTCCTCATAGACATGTAAAGACAAGTTTGGTTATGCCTGCAGGGGCTCTGCTCTCCCCCACCCCCCTTTTTTTTTCTGTTTGCTACGAATCATGAGAATTGAATATTTAGATAAAGGTGGGCGTCAAGTATTAAAGACTTCTGTTCAGTGCCAATTAAAATTTTTCTGTGTGTAAGAACACATAATCCTAAAACTCACCATCTAAATGGATTGCCACAGTTCATTGTCCTATGTAAAATAACTTCTCTAATGCTTTACATTCTGTTCCTTAATCACCTCTGAAATCATGAGAGTTGTGCTTATTGCTGTATCTGTGAAATATAAATTGAAATGTAAACGCCATAATTATTCCTCTTGACGTTGGTATTCTCTGGTAATTCACTGTTATTGCTAGTGAGCCAGAAGATAGGGACAAATTTCCCTTCCTAATCTCATTCTTACAACGTGAGGCATGCACTTACATTAAGCAAAGAAATTTAGGAACATTTATTCCACGTGCCATGAGTATTGCTTGTGGCATATTCTTTTCATAAACCCAGCATTTTGTTGTTATTGCAGATATTATGAATAAGAAACCACAGCTGGCCTGGAAGCTCTATCTGAAGATGGAGACCTCAGGGGAGTCCTTTAAGCTATTGCAGCTCATTGCAAATGATTGCTACAAAGTGAGTCTTCTCTTTAGAACTTGGTGTATGGCATGTTAATTCAGTGATTGTACCAACAGCCATTTTTTTGATAGCTTCCATCATTGTCATCACTAGTGAACTTTCTTTTACAGCACCGGGGTGTCTAATAATGTAGATGACTTGGCAAGGATTCATCAATATTTTAACCTATGGGCCTTCTTGGTAGACAACCCACTGATTAAAACACTGCTAAATTATTGCATGCTTGAGCTGTCAATAACGATAACAGTTTCTTCTCTTACTAGGCATTCATTGTTGGTAGAAATGACAAGAAACTTCTAAGAGAAAAAAAATCTGGCATAGATTCAGCGAGCGGCCTTGTGGTACCTTTTTTTTCTGGGACTGTTATTTTTTCCTTAAAACTTATAATGGCAATGGGAGGTACTCCTTTGTTGATTGTAAGGAAATGGAAAGAGAATTCCCACAACTACGATTCTATCTGCCCAACTGAGGCGAAAAGACACGGTGTGCATGTAGTCATTAGGAATAAAACCACTCAGGAAAAATGGTGAGCTTAACTGCCTACAGCTGGATTCCTGCTAGCACATAATAGTTCTTCTTTTGAAGCTTTTCTAGAGGCGACTTTTAAAGAGATGAGATTAGACTAAGCTGTCTAACATTTTTAAAAGCTGTGCTTTTAAAAAGTGGACTATGTCCACTTTAGGAGGGATGCTCTGGGCGTTTTAGAACAAGTTGAAATAAATGCTACTAAGCTTCTAAATTGTGTTTACTAGTTCTGCTAATACACAGCTAGCACACCTCCAAATTCTGATTTATACAAAGCTATGTTAATAGTGATGAGATCTTGGAAAGCTGATTGCAATTCTGCTTAAGTTCATAGCATCTAACTCTTCAGGTGATGATGTCTATACACAGTGAAACTTAGCTCTGATTCAAGTGGTTTCGCTGTTCTGCAAAGCATGGCAAGAAAACATGAGAGCTTCATCTGCAGGATGGATGTAGAGGCATGTAAAGAAGACTTGTCTGAGAGGGCTGTAAATGGCACTGTAGGAGAAAGAAAAATTAGTTGTCCCATGCAGTGTACTGCTGCGCAAGATTTCAGTATAGGGTGCTGACTCCAGCATCCTCTCTGCTATCTACAAGGGTGATTGTGCTGTGTGTTGGGACCTCGAGGAGTAGCAGCTCAGTAAAGGAGGTTCTTTGGAAAAGTGTCATGGTGAGACACACACCATCTGCTTTTCGGAATATATTGGCCAGAGCCAGAAGGTGGACTGAAGTCATTTGGGGAGCAGCCATTTTAGATTTAAATTAAATACATAGAACATAAAGAAAGATTGTAATTTCATGATTGTGCGAATATAGTGGTTCGCTATTTTAAGAACACAGATGTGAGAAGAAGAGCAAAACACAGATAAGAAGTGTAAAACTCATGGAGCTGGTTCAGTGGAGTGTAATGCAAGTGAATACGCAGGAGCTGGCAGCTTTTAGCATACGCTTATTAGAGATACAGTGACCAGACTTGCCATCATAAAGAGAGTACACTGAGTCTTACTGGAAAATCTTCCAGTAATTCTCAGTTCAGCCATGCTCTCCAAAGAGCAGCAATATCCACATACTATCTGCAACACTCTTTTTTTTTTCCCGTTTTCCTTAATCTGACAGAGTAGCGTATTCTCAAAATCCAAACAGATGCGTAACTGAAAGTCAGAAAATCTACATCATGATCTTAAAAGCATTCATCTAAAACTGAGAGAATTATCTCTTGCACATCTTTCAGGGATTCAACCTGCCAACTCACTCTAAAAGTCTTGCTGCTCAAGCAAGTGGCTATGCCTCTGGCGTTTCCCATCGCTGTAATTTGTGAAAGCAAGCTGACAGTCAACCTTATGTAAGATCTCTCTAAACCATTTTAAGTCTCACTTAAATCAGTTGATTACTTTGCCAAAATTCTCTCAAGACTTTATTGTACTCCGGAGGAGAAGCAGCTCCACACTTCGGATTTACCTAGATGTCTTAAAACCTGCACTTGCAAGACTTAATTTTTCAGGTTAATTATGTGTTTACATATGGCCATAAATGACTGCTCCAAAGCCCAGGGAATTTAATTTCAAAAATTATTACTATAGTATTATAAGTTGTATTTCTACACTACCACCTGTTTGCACCTCTTCCACTAAATGGCAAGGCCCACGTTGTTTGAGTCTGCGTGGCATTTTCTAGATCTTTCTGAACCATCATATTATATTGGAGGTCCTCAGAGGGCACCATGGCAATAACTTAAAGACGTCAATTCCACTCAGCTTCAGTCACAGAATCACACAGAATCACACAATGTTAGGGGTTGGAAGGGACCTCTGAAGATCATCTAGTCCAACCTTCATCCCAGCACACCCAACCACTACACCATAGCCTCAAGTGCTAGATCTACTTTTTTTTTAAACACCTCCAGGGTTGGTGACTCCACCACCTCCCTGGGCAGCCTGTTCCAGTGCCTCACCACTCGTTCAGTAAAGAACTTCCTCCGAATATCCAATCTAAACTTACCCTGACGCAACTTGAGGCCATTTCCCCTTGTCCTGTCATTAGTAATTAGAGAGAAGAGACCAGCACCAGCCTCACTACAGCCTCCTTTTAGGTAGTTGTAGAGGGCAATAAGGTCTCCTCTCAGCCTCCTCTTCTCCAGACTAAACAAACCCAGTTCCCTCAGCCGCTCTTCATAGGTCATGTTTTCCAGACCTCTCACAAGGAGGACAACATTAAACCAGTATCTGTTTAACGTAACTATATCAGATGCCAGTTTGGAGACATCAGTATTCAGTTTTTCTTTTTAGCTGAAACATCGGACACTGTTTATACTCACTATCTTTATTCCCATCCATTTAATGCTTTCTGGCCACCTGTGGTTAAAATCGCCATTTATGTGAAGAAAAGGGAATTATTACTCATTCTGCAGTACCTGTGTTTCTCTGGCTGAAGTTTCCAAACATAACTCCCACAGCCTGTCCTTTTTTCTCAGCAGGTGCCAGCTTTCAGCCACCCAAGGGTGGGAGGCCGTGCTCAGTCTGCCTTCTGTGCTGTCTCTTGGGAAGATGCTAGCCACAAACAACATTGCTATTCAAGCTTCCCAAGTGGAGAACACTCACAGAGTTAAGGTCCACACGAGTTACACAGACTTCAAGAGCCACAGTTACTGTGGCTCGTCCCTTCACACTGACTGTTGCCAACCAGCTTCCTTCTTGTTCCCATTGACAAATAAAGAACCTAAGGCAGTGAATTTTCCTACACTCAGGAAAATTTTGGATTAGAGAGTCACTGAATCTTATTTTGTACTGTACTGTAACAATGAAGAAAAAAAGAAATTAGCTCTAAGTTAAAACTCAAAAGACGTCCAAATATGTCTCTCTGACTGTCTCTATGTGAGGAAAAGTAGTTCTGTTTTCAAATATTTGAACTAGTTTGAAGTTGATATTCTATTCTATCAAGGACTTTGGTGTAGTCAGTATGACACTAGATAGGGCACCTCATGAAGAAGTTCCGTAAGCTAGCGTTATCTGTATATGATCAAAAAAACAGCGCTGATTGTTGCCAACTAATAAAGTTCACAGTGCAGTTTGTCTGGAATATGTTCAAAGACATAGACCACTAATGTCATAATACCACCTGTTTCCCTAAATAGAACTGAAATGTGCCTGTTCTGTCTCACTTGGTGCCTGCAGAAAACAGGAAAATGCACGTTGCTTCTACGACTTACTGCTGATTTCAGAAAACCAAGCTTAAAACTTTTAATCCCCTTCTGAAAAATGGTCATATATTCAGGTGTAATGTTTCACTTTCTGTGCAGATGCGTCAGTTTTACTATTCAGCCAAGGCATTTGATGTTCTGGAGAGACTGGACAGTAATCCTGAATACTGGGAAGGCAAGAGAGGTGCTTGTGTGGGTGTCTTTCAAATGATATTAGCTGGCCAAGAAGCAAAGTGAGTATTTTGTGTTGTATCTGATTTTATTTTTTTATTTTCCTATTTCAGATTAGCTGTAAACCAGAATCATAATCTTAGCTTTAGGACTACATGTTCCTCTTCCAATTCTTTATTGACCTTTCAGAGAATAGACACTCTGGCCATATGCAGTGATCAATTGGAAACTTACCTACCACACCAACAGTTATAAATGGAGAATAACTTACCAGCCAGTGCTATGAACTGTAGGAAAAAAACCCATGTTAGTCATTATACTAGGAAGAGCTAAGCTATAAATGCAGTATGTTCATGAACTGAGGGAAAAGAACCTTGTTTCATGTTGATGGTGTAAAAGTGGAAAGCTGGTCCCATGACATTTTTTAAGGTTCATAGCATAGGACTAAGGAAGCGTTTACTCAGTGGTATAGGAAGGACATGATTTCTCTGAGTGGATGAGACTGTGTTTTCACTAAAATTTGCTTTCTGAAGATACCGTGTCAGCCAAACATTCTTACTTGACAAAAGCTTAAAGGAAATTACCTGTGTTGCTGATAATTTTGCTTTTGGCCCGTTTCACTGAATGGGAGAATAAGAGAGAGTAGAGAGGGTGTGTTTAAGAATTATTCTCTCATGAATATTCTGCTGTGATGCCAGATGGCCTTTCTTCCCTGCCCAAAGTTGCTGTTTCATTCATGCCTGGTAGGTGTGTGTCTTGGCTTCTACACCTTCCTTGTATTCCCTTCTCTGTTGGAATAATCTCATTAACTACTGCACCCTTCAAGTGTCCTTTCAGCAATTACTGCAACAGATGCAGTAAAATACATGTAGCTTGCCTGGTTTTCAATATGTGTACAAGTTCTTGCTGTAAAATAGCTGCCAAACTGCAGCTTCACAGTGGTTTATCCTACTGGTAATGTTAATCTCCACATTACCTATATTTATGTGTAAGGTGCTTTGGCAGCATTAAGCTAGATGTTGCCATCTAGCAAGCAGCATTAAAGATAAAAACCGAAAAAGATTGCTTTGTTCTGGGGAACTATTTTGCAAGAGTAAGGATTTTTATATAAATACACCACACATGCACACACTAAGCTCCAAACTAATTACAGTTTGCTCGTTTGTTTGTTGGGTTTTTTTTGAGGGGGTGGCTTTTTTTACTTTTAATTTCTCTCCTTGCAGTTATATACAGGACCTTTATTTTTTGTCCCCTGGGATCTCATCTACTGTGCATTTTTATCTAGTCCTGCTCTGCAGATGAATGAACATCTCTGTCTAGGAACCGTGTTTTGCCAAAGTTTGGGCATGGGTAGTTGTTTATTTGATCAGTTGCATCTTACCCTCATTTAAATATTTGCTTTTCACCTTTGTAGAGAGACTCTGCGGGAAGTTGTGCATCTTCTGAAGAGCACTGGTAATTCTCAAGCAGAATACATTGTCCGCATCTTGAAAAAGTGGGCCAAGGAGAACAAAGTCCCTGTTTAAGTCAGTTTGTTTGGTTTTGTTGTGTTGGGTTTTTTTTAATTAAAGCTTTTCTGGTACTTGTTTTGTTGGACCACTCTCTGTTCCTCATCCAAAGTTTCAATTATTTAGTAGCAATTCCAACTGTCCCCAAGTCAAAGTGCTCCTCAGATGTTCCTCAGATTTCTCCACATCTTACTGGACCGCTTTGTAGAGCTATTTTCAGCAAACCTTCAGACCTCTGGAGAGGAATCATTTGCTAAATGAGTGAGACAAATTTACTTCAGCAAATGACAGAATGTGACAAGTAGAGAAGATGGCAGCGACCACCAAAACCCAGGAGGAATGGTATCAGATAATACACAAAGATTTCTATATTATTATCTGTCTGGGATAAAATACAAACCATATTCTGAGCACTGTCCTTTTATGGACACATCTCAATAATTAATACTGTCATTTCTTTTTTTTGTCTGTATGGATTGTTTTAGCATGATTTGGTGGTTAGATGGGGGTTAATCAACCTCAAATGCCAAGGTCCGTAGCGGCTTATTTGCTTCTTTGGTTGGTCGCAAAGCATGATGCCTTTTCAGAGCATGGAGATTTGACTGACTGTATTGTTCAATCTCGCTTTGAGGTTTGATGCTGAGAACATTTATTCATGTTAATATCATTCATGTGTGTAATCCATTTAGTTTAGCAAGCTGATGGATAAAATAAAATACTGTATTCTCTACTGTCTCTGCTTCAATTAAAGCTCTTAATTGAATCCACAATTGAATGTCTTGTTGGTCTGTGTTGCTTCATACTGCAGAAGTTGAAATAGTATGTTAATTTTGCTGTGGAAATGGGCAGATCTGTGACTGGTCGTTAAACGCATGTTCACTGATCAATCAAAGGCAAGCCATTGGCCTTGGTCCTGATTTTATGGTAGTTTGCTGCAAATAAGGAGGCTGGGTGTATGTGGAATGTATATACCTGTCTGCCATATAACCTGTCAGTGTTTTTACTGCTTTAAGCAAAAACCGTGGGTGTCATCATTCAGGTATCTAGAAGTACGCTGATAATTGTGGCTCCTTGGATTTACATCTAGAAAACTGATCCATCATACTAGCTACAATAACAAAGCCTTTCAGCAGGGGCGGGGGCAACCTTCCGCTCATTCAAAAGAGGTGTGGAAGGAGCAGCGTTTTCACTGAAAGCAGTTACAAAACATATTTTACTTGTAAAATGCATTTTTCTTTTCCTTCCTAGTTTAATTAAGTTGGAAACAGGAATACAATTATGAGTCTTGGTGCAAAGCTTAAAAAAATCATGTTGGTGTCTTTGTAGCAGATGTTAAATGCATCTAATTACTCCCTTTATTGAAGCTTAACCTGCAGGAGAGCTGAAGAGCATCCAAATCCAGTGCAGGCCGTTTTACACGTTGGCTGACTCTTCTGAAGTAAGTGTGATGATATTGCAGCATAAGGGCTTGGGGACTAATTTTAAATTCTCTATCTCTGACTAGTGTAGACGTTTTTGAAAACCTCACCTTTGTTCACTAGTCGCATGTGATAATGAATGATACGCTAAATAACATGGAGGGTAGCAGAGTGCATTTTATTGACTGGTAATTGCCGAGGGTTCGGGCTGGGCTGGCCACCAATGCTGACAGATGCTCTGTAACCCCTCTCCCTTCCCAAAAGGAAAGGGAAAGGGAATGAGGCAGAGAGACTGACAGATTGGAAAAGAAAACTAGAACAACTTTAATGAAACAATTATACTACTAATAAGATAGAAATAATGAAATATATACAAATACATACAAATTAATATTGAACCTGGCTTTGCCCTGCCAGTAGCAATCCCCACTGATCTGCAGAGCAGGCGGCACCGGAGAAGCTCAGCAGCTTCAGGAGCTGGATACAGGAGTTGGATTCAGGAACTCAAGATCAGGTTGAAAGGCAGATTGGATGAAGTCCTCCTCGAACATGGAATGGAATACTCTTGGTCACCTGTTCTGTCCATTCCTTGTTGGGGGTGCAACCTTTTACTTCCTTGTGACCCCTTTTACTTCCTGGCACCCCCAGAGTGGCACACAAGATCCAGCAGTGACCTTGGTCAATACAGGAGCAAGGATCAGCAAGAACCTTTCTGTGTATCCATCTCTGGCAGTAACTAAACATCAGGTATTACCACTTCTAGTAGCAGACACTGTCCGCAGAAACATGCTGCCAACTTCAGAAAGTGCAGCCTCTTGGAAGAGGCTGAGCTGAAAAATAAAATTGCTGAACAGAATTAGCTCCGTTTAGCTCAAACTAGGACAATAATAAAGCTTTTGTCATTTAAGACATAAAGAACAGGGGATTGCAGGGCTTTGCCTTGAGCAGTGGTGAAATAAAAGATACATTATGTATTGTCCTAGCATTTAGGATCTTGGTAATGGAACAGATATGTACGTACTATTAAAATGCAGGACAAGAAATGTGCTGAAATACTGGTGTTAATTTTACATTAGAAATGCATTCTAAGAACATCTTCTGTTGTTTGAGATCGAGTTCAAAGAACTGAGATGTGACTAGGAATTGCCTTAGCTGATACAGAAAGGGAAGTTAATAAAGAGTTTTGAAAGCCATTTCTTAAGTAGAGTTAGGAAAATTTTATCCCTATCCATTTCCATATTTCCTTGAACTGTGGGAACGTAAGGATTCAGGGTGCTCTAAATTGGACAGCTCAGAATCAGTGTAGAAGAAAACCAACAAAAGTGACCTATACAGAACAAGCAGACAGTGACGAATGTATGTGCAGAGTCAGGGAAACAGTTGGGTTTATTTGGTCTGGAGTAAGTGAATATAAAATTGAAACAGTGGCATTTCAGATAATGTAGTGGAAGAGAGACTAAGGCAGAAAGAAATTCTTGCATCATTAGAATTTCAAGGAAGAGTATAGAAAATACAGTTGTTTCTTATACTCTGAATAAGCATCTGATTGTGGAAAATGAGCTATAGAGAATGCATGGAAGGTACTGTGCTAGCAATCATATCATTAATAGCGACTGGTAGAGAAAGCCAAACCTGAAACAGCGTGTAACTGCTTTTAGTTGGGTGTTGACTTATTCCCGATAGATAAAGAAGATGACCTTTAATTAAACTTAGTAATACCTGAGCAACATTTCTGCCAATGACATCTACACTGCAGGGGAGGACATTTATCCTGCCTGTTGCTGCCAGTGAGTTCCAGGATAACATCTGCTTTGGCCAACCTCTGAACTGATCCAATATAGCAGCAACCCTCTTGGATTAATTTTGGAATCCAGCATATAACTTCTAAGTGTAGTAAAAGCTGGAGCCAAGTAACGTACTAAACTGGAGGTGGCAAGCTCGTTGTGAAGGAAAAGCCACGTCACGTTCCAACTTGGTGGACTGTAGCAGGTGTTTAGGTTTGTGTGTTTCCCTCAGCTTTAAGATTGCTCATTCATGTTCATAACAAAGTTGTCCAATGTTGAATAAGGAATTTGGCCATTAGTTAGTAAGACATAAAATCAACAATTACATATATAGCTACAATTACATATGTAGCCTCACTATATGGGAGCTATACCTGCATGGAGGAGCACATCTGGGTTTTGCCCATTGGTTTTCTCTTAACGCAAATTTTCCCTGTGTTATCTCCAGAAGTAATTTCTCTTGTGTTTCATTTCTAGACATCCCTCTCCCCATTTAATCTATTCATACAATCACTGATTAAGTAGATAATTGCAGGACAGTGTCACCGGTAACCACTAAAATCAAGTCATTAACGGACTACAAGATAATCTGGCTTGACCTTACATGGTGCAAGATGGTGGATTTCATCTGCTAATATTTGTGTTGAATCCAGTAACTAACTTGACTTTCCATAAAAATATTTTCCAGAAATAAATTTGAGAGTCTTAATGTGAAGATGGATAATGAAAAATCCATAGTTTTACTTGTCAATTTGTTCAACTGGCTAAATCATCTTTGCTCATTTAGAAATTATACCTTAACTGTAAATTCAGCTTGTTTTTTAATTCAGTCTTGTCTTGATTCTTCCAATCTTCATCTTTGTCATTAGTCAGTAAAACCTAGAATTCTTTGTTAGTGGTTTGATTTTCTTAAAAATCAAGCCACCTTTGTCTATATCAAAGACAGTATCACTTGTAAGGATATTTTCCAGTCTGGAAAACTGGCAATCCATTTTTCAACAGATTTTTTTAAAAAAACATGGCCGTGTAGCATTAGGCATAATTTATCACTATATGGAATATTGGAATATGTTCCTCCATACTGTTCCTTGATGTGTCAGTATAGGTTGGGGACTGACCTATTGAAGAGCAGTGTAGGTGAAAGGGACCTGGGGGTTCTGGTGGCCAGCAGGATGCCCATGAGCCAGCAATGTGCCCTCGTGGCCAAGAAGGCCAATGGCATCCTGGGGTGGATTAGAAGGGGAGTAGCTAGTAGGTCAAGGGAGGTCCTCCTGCCCCTCTACTCTGCCCTGGTGAGGCCACATCTGGAATATTGTGTCCAGTGAGGGTGACAGAGCACTGGCACAGGTTGCCCTGGGAGGTTGTGGACTCTCCTTCTCTGGAGACATTCAAAACCCGCCTGGATGCGTTCCTGTGTGGCCTGCTGTAGGTGATCCTGCTGTCACAGGGGGTTGGGCTAGATGATATTTGTGGTCCCTTCCAACCCCTGACATTCTGTGATTCTCTGTTTCTATGATTCTCCTACATGTACACTCAAAGACTGCATTCACCGGTTTTGCCGTGTTATCACAGGGGAAGCTTGGATTAAATTGCTTCTTGACTGCAACATGACATGGAGGGTTTTTCCAGAAGTGATATTTTTCAGGATACAGTCTACTCTTCAGAAGAGACAGCCTGCCTTTAGCTCTACAAAAACTATATTTTGTTCAAATGGGCTCAGTTTTCCGTCTTATGCAGATCTGACCCTCACTAATTACTAGTCTGTTTCTCTACAGCCTTTTATTAGTGCTGGTTTACATCTATATCTGGATCGTCA